GGATCTAGGTTGCTTCCATGTCCTGGCTATTATAAACAGTGCTGCGATGAACATTGGGGCGCACGTGTCTCTTTCAGATCTGGTTTCCTTGGTGTGTATGCCCAGAAGTGGGATTGCTGGGTCATGTGGCAGTTCTATTTCCAGCTTTTTAAGAAATCTCCACACTGTTTTCCATAGTGGCTGTACTAATTTGCATTCCCACCAACAGTGTAAGAGGGTTCCCTTTTCTCCACACCCTCTCCAGCATTTATTGCTTGTAGACTTTTGGATAGCAGCCATCCTGACTGGCGTGTAATGGTACCTCATTGTGGTTTTGATTTGCATTTCTCTGATAATGAGTGATGTTGAGCATCTTTTCATGTGTTTTTTTGCCATCTGTAAGTCTTCCTTGGAGAAATGTCTGTTTAGTTTTTTGGCCCATTTTTTGATTGGGTCATTTATTTTTCTGGAGTTGAGCTAGAGGAGTTGCTTGTATATTTTTGAGATTAATCCTTTGTCTGTTGCTTCATTTGCTATTATTTTCTCCCAATCTGAGGGCTGTCTTTTCACCTTGCTTATAGTTTCCTTTGTTGTGCAAAAGCTTTTTAAGTTTCATTAGGTCCCATTTGTTTATTTTTGCTTTTGTTTCTAAAATTCTGGGATGTGGGTCATAGAGGATCCTGCTGTGATTTATGTCGGAGAGTGTTTTGCCTATGTTCTCCTCTAGGAGTTTTATAGTTTCTGGTCTTACATTTAGATCTTTAATCCATTTTTTTTCCATTTATTTTTATTAGTTGGAGGCTAATTACTTTACATCATTGCAGTGTTTAATCCATTTTGAGTTTATTTTTGTGTATGGTGTTAGAAAGTGTTCTAGTTTCATTCTTTTACAGGTGGTTGACCAGTTTTCCCAGCACCACTTGTTAAAGAGATTGTCTTTTTTCCATTGTATATCCTTGCCTCCTTTGTTGAAGATAAGGTGACCATAGGTTCGTGGATTTATCTCTGGGCTTTCTATTCTGTTCCATTGATCTATGAGATGACACTTTAAATTTATCCATTCAAAAATGTTCATTGAACACCTGTTAAATGTGAGGCCCCAAACCATGTGTTGAGAATACAGAGTTGAACAGGACACAGGCCCTGGTCTCTTTTATGGTCTAACCAAGGAGATAGACATGAAATCAAAATGATTACCTTAAAACTGTCATGAGGTATATAAAATTTTATTCCATTGAAGAAAGATAAGCGTGAAAGTGAAAGAAGTCACTCAGTCGTGTCCGACTCTGTGGGACCCCATGGACGGTAGCCTACCAGGCTCCGAGGTCCCTGGGGTTTTCCAGGCAAGAATACTGGAGTGGGCTGCCATTTCCTTCTCCAGGGGATCTTCCCAACCAACACAAATATATAACAATGTTGGTAAGTGCTGTAAAGAAAAAAAAAAGGATGGGAGGGATAGATAGTCAGTAGGGAGAGTATGCTGTTGTACAGGGTGTTCAGAAAAGGCCTCACCATAAGGTACCATTTGACTAAAGAAAGGGTGAGAGATTGAGCTGGATGAGTGTCTTGGGGAAGAGCATCCCAGGTAATGGGAAATAAGAATTAAGGCAGACTTGTGCTTGTATGCCTAGAGAGATTCCTTATTCCTAAATAAGGAATCAAAGTCAATGAAATATTCTTTGTACAGTGTTGTTTCTTTAGGTCTAAAAAAGAAAAAACTAATAGTGTGTCTGGAGTAGTGAGTGAGAGGGAGTGTAGAAGATGATGAGAGAGATAATAAGGCTGGCTGAGTGATCTGAAGCCTTGAAGGCTATGAGTCGGACTTTGGATTTTACTCAGAATGAGAAGAGAAAACTCATGCAGAGAAACTTTAACTTGATGGAGCAGGTAAAAGGAGCAATTACAGGTTTAGAGGTATAGGAAAATAAAAGTGGAATCAGTACTTCGGAGCTCAGTTCAACATGAAGGATGGGTGGGAGAGATTGAAAGCAGAAAGACCATCCTGAAAGTTCAAGTGTGAGATGATGAAAACTAACTAGAGTGGGCAGTGAGAACTACATAAAATTGAAACGTTTTCAAAGAAAGCAATTTACTGCCTTGGTGTGGGATAACTGAGCTTGCACCTTCAGAACCACTGACTTCAGATACAAACAGATGTCCTGTGAGAGGCAAATGAGGCCAAAGGCACTGTTTCTAAAATGGAACCACAAGACAGTTTCAAAAGAAACCTGCTGTTTGTAATTGAAACTAGTTCTTTGTTTGAAATAGAACAAATTTTAAAAAATAACTAGAAGACCTAAAATAATTTCCATTATCCTGAAAAATAAGCAGAATTGATCCTGCTTATCAGCTGACAGTTCAGTAGTTATGAGCAGGCAAGCAAAGTGGACTTAGGCTGGCATGAGCCTAAGTCCACATCTGCACATCAGCAGATTTTATTAGGAATGCATCTCCCTTTTTAGGGTCTAAATAAGGAATCAAAAGTCAATGAAATATTCTTAGTATAATGCTGCCTCTTTACTGAAACACTTTTGTGTCACTTATTTTACTGAAACACTTTTGTGTCACTTATTTTATTGTTTATAATTTTCTTGAACAGGGTTGAAGGCTCTGAAAATAATGTACAGAAAATGTGACATAGGTATGTGGAGAGGCATATGTGGTAGAAGGGTCCTGTTGTTCTGGAAATCAAGGATTACAAAGTAGAATATATTATTGACATTAGTTTAGAAAAGTGTATGGTAGTATAGAGTAGATATAATAATTGATCAAAGAAATATCAATACCTTTAACAACTGGTAATAGTACTAATAATTTTTCCATAAAATTTATGTGGCCACACTTGAAGAAGCCAGAGGATTTGGCACTGTGTGGATATTTAAATATGAAAAGTACTTAACTGTTTAAGTATGTTTTCTCACTTCAGTTACTTAAACTTACTTTCCTACTATTCCTCAGGGTGTGCAGATGACAAATAATGCCTTTTCCTTCAATATTTTAAAGCTGATTACATTGAAAATGTAAAAAACACTTGAAAGACTTAACCATAGTTTTGTTTCTTGTTTTTGTTTTTGGAGTGGGGGTGATAATAGCAACAGGGATACATAGGGGTGTGATACATTTTAGAAAAAGCATTGTTTACTTATTAGCAAATTATTTATGTTTATTTAACCTGATTGAACCAGAGGTTACTTGCTTTTTAAAATGGCTAATTCTTCTTCATCAGTTGCTGTTTTGTTTTTTTTTTTTTTGCTGAACAGAGATATTGCTTAAACAGAACAAAGTCCAAAGAAAACTTGATTTAACCAAATCAAACTCCGATGCCAAGGTTAGTAAACCAAGATCATTAAAATGTTGCATAAAAAGAATTAAACTAATGCAAGTTTGAGTCCAGGCTTAAGGATTTGCTCTTTTGAAGAGTAACACTGATTTTTCTAAGCTCAGGCAGATTCAGTTTCTGAGAAAATAGACTTGTGTTTATGTATCTTAAAACCATTGAGAGGCTTGTGATTGTGTATCTTTTCAAGTGGTCTTGGGACGTATGCTTTGGGATTTTTGTGATGGGGCCCTAAGCTAAAAACATTTTGACCAAAAGTATCATCTTCATTCTAAAGACTGTGTACTTGTATCTTGTACAAAGGAATTGAGTTTTTCAATTTCATGCACAGCAAACACATTTTTACACATATGAGGCAAATGTTGAAAAAAAAGATAAAAGTTAACAGGTAGTTATTTGAATTCTTACTGTTTTCAGGCCTCTCACAGCAGTTTAGTTCTTATTCTTTTTGTATGCAATATAACATTTCATAGTAGGCATTTGATATTAAATGAGTTAAGATGTATTTCACCTTTCACAGATTTTGAAACCCTTGGCAAGACATTTTAGTCAACGATACAAATCTATAGTTGAAAGGAGGGCTTTATCATCAGCTCAGGACAGGAAAAACCCAAGTATAAGGAAGGTGGCTAATATGATCACCGATGTCATTAACTTTGTTGTCTAATCATTCCAGTTTCTACCTCCCTTTAGTCTCAAAAGTGAAAAAAAAAAAAGTCTACTTGCAAGAAAAAAAGAAGTCACCTTGCCTAGAAAGGAAGTTTGAATGTTGTACTTTAAATTCTTAGAAGAGGAAATAAAATTGCCATTTAAATATGTTAATGAACTTTGGCATGACTTGCTATATGAATCAGCGAGTTTCAAAATTAAAATTACTTTTGAATCCCCAGGTCAAAAAGCAAAGGCCTCTTCGATTTGATTACTTTGAACACCTATACCTAATTAACCTTTAAAAAAAAATCCCTTATAAATTACACCTGGAATATGATGAAATGTGACATGAAATACCGTGATGAACATTAATCGGTTCAACAGAGGACAATGAAGTCTGTTCTCTCAGGTAATCTTCACAAAAACTGGAGAACTGTCAGTCCCACCCCTCGAAAGCTGCCACTGAAACCCTGACTGTCCTCAGATCCCGGCCTTGCCGCGTTCACGACGGCGGGGATTTCCGTGTCGGTGACACACGCCACTTCCGGCCGACGGTGAGAGTCAGTGACGTGGCAGGAGAGGCCGAGCACGGTCCTTCGGGCCGGGACACCCGGAGCTGTCAGGTGGCTTCAGGGCAGCCCCGCCGGGAAAGAAGAGCTCACCGACTGCGGCTGCCGCTGCGAGGCCGGAGCCGGAAGTGCCACGTGTCCCGATTGCGCCTGCGCGCCCAGCGGCTGACAGGCAGTTCCGGTCGGGGCCTCCCTTGGTCTCTCTCCGCTCGGCTGCTGCTTTCCAACCCGGCGTTCTCGGCCCCACCGGCCCGACACTCAAGCCTCGGCACCCAGGCCAAGCTCTGACCGCCGGCGGACTGGGGAGAATGCGGCGCCATGCGTAGGGCTCCCTGCGCCGCCCACTCTCTATCCTGCTTTCAGTCCTAAGTCGTTAGCCCCCTCCTGGCTTCCAGCCGTCGTTTTTCAACTCTCGGCTTGGGGCTGTCGCAGACCCCGAACAGACCCGTATAAACGTCGTCGTCATGTCCCAGCCCGGGATACCCGCCTCTGGCGGCGCCTCCACCGGCCTCCAGGCCCAGAACGGGGCCGCCTCGGCGTCGGGGTCTCCCTACACCAACGGTAAGTACCTCTGGGTGTTGAGAGTTGGGGAAGGCGAAGTTTGGGCCCCGGCCCGAGTTGACCTTTGGTTGTTGCCTCCGTCTGAGGGGACAGCAGGCGAGAGTTACTTCCCTGCCAGGGTCAGGAGCGCCTGGAGCTGGGAAGCTGAGCCACAGGGACCGCGACTCGTCTTAGTGTTTCATATTTATTTATTCTTTCGTTCAGCACACAATTGCTGAGCACTTGCTGTATAAAACGCCCTGGGTATACATGGGTGAAAAACACAGACTCCGTCTGTACCTCACAACTCGCATGCAAGGCTCTTGGCATCTGTTTATGTGCCCTTTCTCTCCGCGCCACCTCACCTTCGTCTTCTGGAGAGCACGGTTTGGGGTCTGACTCATTTCGGTCCGGTCGGGCCTGCATTAAGTACTCAGTGTGAACCTGCAGAGATGAATGGAGGATTATGCTTTGCCTCTTTAGGGCCTGCTCCTCTCTCCCTGAACCTTCCCAGAATTGTACCTAGGCCACCTGTTCAGTTTTTCAGCTTTAGAAGCGGAGGATCTCCTGTTTGATTTCCAGAGGTCGTTACATCACTTGGAAAGTGATTGGACACAAAGTCTCTGAACCTCTGGCTAGAGTGTACATGTGGCACAATAATTTGTCATTCGGTGTGAGGATGTCTTCTGATTTTATACTCTTTCTAGGATTCTTTAAATTGTCCTATGTTGTGATTTGCTAAGTTCTTTAAAGAACTTATAATAAAGACAGATGTTCTCCCAACGGTTTTCCAGGTTACCAGTTTACTTATAAATCTTTAGTTCTTGGAAACAAAACTAGTAGAATAATATTAAAATGCTTCAGTTTCCCACTGAAATCTAAGATTTCTGTTAAGTTCGAGAAAATAGCCACTGACTAAAATAGCTAATTTACATTGTTTTTAGAGACTACTGTTTTCTTTACAAAGAAGGCTCCAAAAGACTTTTTAAAATGTCTATGAGTAGGCAAGTATGTAGGCAGTAGCAAGAATAAGTGAGAGTAAGCACTGAAATGGTATTAAATTGAATCAATTGTTTTTTCCCAAACTTATGGTAACAGATTTATGTAAACTATTTTATATTCTAGGCTAGTTAGTTGCATTTTCACGGAGGATGAAATGACTTTAAAACATTAAGGCCAAAACTCTTAAGCAAGATGCCATATGACTGTTTTTTTCTTCTTTAAGTTGGACTTTTACAGGAGCTTTAAATGGTAAATCCTGCAAATATGCTTGCAAACTTATACATAGGTATAGTTTTGATAATTTTGAAATGGTAAAGCAGTTTAGCCATTGTGTATACTGTATTGGAGATGTTGTCACTATGTTGATTTGATCCAGTCCAACAGACATTTGTTGCATGCTCCAGTTCTGTCCTTAGGATTATAAAAGAGAATAAAAAAGGAGTCTGTGTACACAGCTTGCTCAGAGCTTATTTGGGACTCAGATAGGGAAGGAAGTCATAGGATTGCAAATGTGTACCCCCACTTTCTAGAAAATAAGTTTCAAGTGTACAGCATTATAATTTGACATAAACCACAAAGTGATCACCACCACAGGTCCAGTTACCATCCATCACTATACAGTTGACCCCTTCACCCATTTCCCCAACCCCCTTCCCTTCTGGTAACCACTAATCTGATCTCTGTATTGATGAGTTTTTGTTTTATTTTGTCTGTTCACTTATTTTGTTTTTTTTTAGCTTCTAAATGTGAGTGAAATTACATGGTATTTATCTTTCTTTGTCTGCTTATTTCACTTAGCATAGTACCTTCAAGTTCCATCCATGTTCTTGCAAATGGCAGGATTTCATTCTATTTATGACTGAATTATATTAATATTCCATTGTGTGTGTGTCTATAACATCTCTATCCATTCATCCATTGATGGACAGTTAGGTTATTTCCATATCTTGGCTGCTGTAAATAATGCTGTAGTGAGCACAGGGGTACATACATCTTTCTGAATTAGTGCTTTTGTATTCTTTGATAAACGCATAAAAGTAGAATAGTTGGGTCATGTGGTATACACCCTTGTTAAGATATAACTTTGGCATTCTTTTTATAAACCCTATTTCTAAAGTTTTTTTTGTAAAAGTATTTTCAGTAAAATGGCTAATATCCTGCATTGGGTTCCGTTATTGTTCACATTGATCACTAATAATAAAGAGAGGAGGGATGTGGTGGAGAATTGGGAGGGAAGGGTATTTCTCTAAAAGGTGAAAAAAAAGTTCAGTGCTAGATCTAATTTTTTTTGGTTAACTCTTTCTAGGCACTGCTGCTTAAATGCTATTGAATTCTCATGCTTTAGGTTTAATGTAGCATGCCTAAAGTATGCATTAGAGTTTAGTTGGAGCTTCCATTTTTTTTAAGATTATAATTTAAAAATTGATTGAGTCAACTGTTTTGTTTTTCTGTAACTTACTTTCATATTGTATAGTGTTATTACAGAATACCTCATACATCTGGACATTTCTTTCTGTGGTTGATTGTTACATTGCACTACAATCCAAAGGTTGTCTAGAATGGTTTTTCTAAGTCTCTGTGTAGATTTGGGTACATTCATTTCCTTTGCAGAAGTTGATACTGAAACTGCAAGACTACTTAAACTGGCAGATTTTCATCTGATTACCATATAATAAAGATTAAAAGCAAATCATGACTCCCACTTGTAATTAGCTCCTTTGTTGACTATTTGAGTCAATTTGTCAAGGCAGTTAGAAACTGTAGTTTTATTAACACTTTTTGTAATATTTATGTAATACTCAGCTTTTCCCCTTATAGGTTAAGAGTGAGAAGGATATTCTATATTCTCTCTTCCACCCAGATTTGTTCCCCTGTTACATTATAATTTTATAAAATAGTATGTTTTCCCTCTAGACTGTAAGTCCTATGAGGGCAAGAATATCTGTTTTTGCTCATCATCTTCTCTCCAGCAGATTCGCATGGTGTCTAGCACATTTAAGAAATTACCAGTTTTGTTGAATGATTTTAGAATTGGGTATTTGCAGTTTAGTTCACTAAACATGTATTCTTGTTCATTATAAGACTTGAGCTCATTTTCAACTGTTCTCTTTCTGGTGAAATTTTCTGTGGATTTTTGTACAGTTATTGTTGTTCAGTCACCAAGTTGTGTCTCACACTATCAGCTGAAATATAGTAGAATGTGATGTATGGGTTAGTCATCAGTTTAAATGCTAGACTTGTGCTCATATCTCTATTTTAGGCATGGCAGAAATTAAATCTCTTTTAGTTTCTATGAGGTAAACCATAATTATGATTGTGTATTTTTAATATAGGCAGTCTTTAAAAAAAAATTGGTTATTTATTTTTAGCCGCCCTGGGTCTTGGTTGATTTGTGTGGGCTTTTCCTGTTTGCGGCTACTCCCTTGCGTGCGCAGATTCCTCATTGCAGCAGCCCCTCTTTGGAGCACAGGCTCTAGGGTATGCGGGCTCAGTAGTGGTGGTGCAGGGGGCTAGTTGCTCCAGGGCATGTAGGGTCTTGCCAGATCAGGGATTGAACCCGTGTCCTTTGCATTGGCAGACAGATTCTTATCCACTGTGCAACCAGGGAAGGAAGTCCCATATGAAGTCTTTAGTGCTGAGACTAAAATTGGCATGTGATCTCTAACTGATTGTTGTGGCTGAGTTCCTTTTAGTGTTTTCAGTGGGCACAGTAACTTTGGAGTCCTACAGGACTGCACGTGTGCAGGCTTAGTCACTCAGTCATGTCCAACCCTTTGTGACTCCATGGACTATAGCCCGCCAGGCTCCTCTTGTCAGGGGATTCTCCAAGCAAGAATACTGGAGTGGGTAGCCATTTCCTTCTCCAGGGGATCTTCCTGACCTAGGGATTCAACCCCGCGTCTCTTGCGCTGCAGGCAAATTGTTTACTGTCTGAGCTACCAGGGAAGCCCGTGAGACTTTGCATACCTCTAGTAGAATTTACTACATTGAGCTTCTGTTTGGACTCTGCTGATAGACTGGGAATTCCTAAAAGAAATAAAATAGTAACAATAAGAATTAGCATTTATCATGTACTTACTCTATTCCTAGTCATTGTGCTAGATTGCATTATATGCATCATTTCATTTAATCCTCATAACAGCCCTGTAATATGAGAACTGTTAGGTTTACTGACCAGGAAACAAAGATGAGTGGTCAAGCAACTCATTCAAGGTTACACAGCTAATATGTTGTGGAACCTAGATTTAAACTTGGCAGTCTTATTTATTCAGCTTGCCTGGTGGTTATGCCTGGATCAAGGAACAGAAGCTTTCCTTTGGTTTCTTTATGTAGATAGATATATATACTTAGAGTAAATGTTGATATTTTTTGAAATTGCCACCCAGCATAGTTTCCTTTGGATTATAATTAATACATGACCAGACCCTCACTTTTATTAGTACTGAGTCCATTTCTTTGCTATTTCAGCATCACACCTCATAAATGTCTTGTACTTCTTGAAACTGCTGATGCCCCCACTTTGATTCTTAGCATTTGCTCTTGCCCCTTTCATTGCTTTCTTTAAAGCCGTTCTATTTAGTCACTGATCCACAAATTGTCCTCATGCAGTAGCATCCATTTGTTGCACTTAGAGTGTCAGTTGGTCAACTGTAAGTGATCAGAGTGTATTTTGATGTCAGGGAGAGGTGCTAAATCATTTTTTTTCTCTCTATAATTGACTTGTTCTCCAGATCTGTTGTATTTAAAAGCACACACACAGAAGGAACTTTTCAAAATTTAAGTAAAACATTGCCATCTAAAGCACAATGTTTTGAATATTTGGCTACTTTTCTGTAACTTTTATTTACTTTCATGTAGGACACCATAACTAATGGAACCATATTCAAGAGAGCCTTGAATTAATTTGAACTGGTTTAGTCATTTGAATTCATGAATGGTAGGTAGAAAGTGTAAACTGTCCCTGGCAAGTAGTAGCTCATTGTATATTACTGGGGCTTCCTCGTGGTTCACTGATAAAG